ATAATGCTACTAACAAGAACTTATTATTGTGAACAATTCAATATTGTGAACACGGTGCAAATATCTGCTTGAGACTCTGTTTCATTTCTTTTGGTATATCCTCAGAATTGAAACTGCTAGATCATACAGTAATTCTGTTTTTAATTATTTGAGGAACAATGATTGCTATAAAGATTTTATTGTTGACCAATGTACCACTGGGTGATGCACTTTCAAAATAGCTATTAGCTTTGCACAGCCAGGGGAAGTTGTTGGTAGTTCCAGGGCTCTTCCAGATGTTCAGCCCTTGAGGGACAATCCCTGAGTGACTTGTGAGGGTCACACAAAATATGCGTTTCAAGAAGTCACATCTGTTAATTCAAGAGGGTTATATGCATAATCTTCATCCCAAAAGCTAATCAAATTTAGGTAAGTTAATATGCTCTGAACGCTTAGTTTAAGTGTTTGAATATCATGTATCTAAATGAGATTTAAAATTGGAGAAATTTTTTTATAAGAATGCTGAGTTACAAACGTGCCAAAAGGAAAACAAAAACAAAAACAAAAAACAGCTCCATTAACAAAACAAACAGCTTCATTACAAAGTGGGCAAAAGATATGAACAGACACTTCTCAAAAGAAGACACACAAGCAGCTAATAGATGAAAAAATGCTCAGCCTCACTAGTTATCAAAGAAATGCAAATTAAAACCACACTGAGATACCACCTAACTCCAGTCAGGATGGCCATCATCAATAACTCAAAAAACAACAGACGCTAGAGAGAATGCAGAGAAAAGGAACGCTCCTACACTGTCAGTGGGAGTGTAAACTAGTACAGTCTCTGTTGAAAACAGTGTGGCGATTACTAAAAGATCTAAAAATAACCTTCCATACAACCCCACGATCTCCCTACTGGGAGTATACCTGGAGGAATTCAAATCACTCTATGAAAAAGAAACCTGCACACACGTTTATTGCAGCATTATTTACAATAGCAAAAACATGGAACCAACCGTGCTGTGGATTTTTAAAATGTAGTATGTACACAAGATGGAATATTACACAGCCATAAAGAAGGACAAAATTATGAACTTCGCAGCAACTTGGATGGACTTAGAGTCTATAATACTCAGTGATCTATCACAGAAACAAAGAACTGAATAGCACATGTTCTCATTCATAAGTGGACCCTGAACATTTACCATAATACTGTAAGAAAGGGGTTGGCAGTAGTGGGATACTGCCAGGGGGGGTGGGGGAGGTGGGGGAACACAACATCGTTAAGGATACCTGATCTTAAACCAGGCAAAGTAGAGACCAAAGGGAGGCCCAAACTTTACCTGTACTATGTCTACTTGTATACCTAATCCTGAATTGTACCCCACCCCACATCTTTAAAATAAAAAAACAAAAACAAAAAAAGAAACTTAATCCCCAATGCAACAGTGTTGGGAGTCGGGTATTTTGGGAGGCATTTAGGCATAAGGGCACCGCTCTTATGAATGGGTAAATGCTGTTATATATAAAAGAGCTTGGTGAAGGGAGTTTGTTTCTTTGTGTTTTCCCCCTTTGGCAGGAAGACCTTCACCAGACACCAGAAGCTGGCACCTTGATCTTGAACTTTTCAACCTTCAGAACTGTGGAAAATAAATTACTATTCTTTGTATATTAAAAAAAAAAAATTTAAGCTATCCCTCTTTGTAGGTGACATGATCCCACACCTTGAAAACCTAGGGGAGTCTGTCAAAAACCTCTTTGCACTGATACATGACTTTGACAAAGTCTCGGGGTACAAAATCAATGTGCAAAACACAGTTGCATTTCTATACACCAACAACAAGCAGGCAGAAAACCAAATAAAAAGCACAATCCCACTCACAATGGCCACACACACAAAATGAAATACCTTGGCATAACCAGGACTTCTAAAAACTGTCAAGACTAAAAATCAAGGAGAGTCTGAGAAACTATCACAGTCCAGAGGAGCCTAAGGAGACACGAGACCTGAATTGAATCCCAAAACAGAAAAGGGACATTAGAAAAACTAGTAAAATCTGAAGAAAGGCTCAGATTACAATTGTACTACCTCTGTACCTTTTCTGTAAATTTAAAATTATTTCAAAATAAAAAGGTTATTAAAGATGCAAATAAAGAATGCTGAGTTAAAGAACACATTATATTTTCATAAAGATGATGTCTGTACAATGACAGATACAAACGATACTCTAGAGTTTTGTCAATACTAGGTCATTTATGGTAATATAAAGGAGTTAGTTGTGTATTTTGCAATATTTTAGTGTTTCTTTACAAAAGAGGATAAATTACTATTCCCAAGAAGGACAGTCTTGGTAAAAATAAAATAAAATAACACACTAAAAACTCATCTCCTGAACCCATTCAAGAGAAAACATTACGCTGAGCATCCAGAGTCTTTTATCACTCTAAAGAAAACCCAATAGTATTGTCTAATACAACTTTCAGGAATGGTTGCAGAAGGGTACAGAAGAATTGGAAAATGCTGAAATACATGGGATAGTTTTATAAGCCACCTTCATTTTGCCTGGAGACAGGAGGTACGTCAAGCAGATGATTCCTGCTCTATTTCCGTTGTGTTACTCACATAAAACATGCTTCAACTGTTATTTATAATCAATACAAGGATCTGAGGGACCAAAAAAAGGCACCATTAAACATCTCAGAAAAGTGGACTTCTGACAAGCAGATTTTCCTTATCACATAAGAGCACATCTTCGTGATTCATCTTTTTTTTTTCAATGCTATGTCAGCACCAGAATCACCTAGTGAGTTAGGCAAACTGAAAGGAAGCTATTTTTATATCATAATAACCTAGGACCACACACAAATATTATAATTCTGACCATACTGAGATAAAACAAAATATGACAGGCAATAAAATTATCAGAAACACTAGTGAGAACTTATGTCTGTCCCTCTAACTAGGAGAGCTGGAGGACAATGACAATATTTCGTCAGCAAACTACCTTAACACAGTTCAGTGTTCAATAAATAAGTACCTTCCGCAATAGCAAAGAATATGGAGATGGTCCAAAAACATAAGTGTAATTCCAGTTTTCCTTACACGGAGAGAGAGCTCTATGAAGTCCCAATTTCTTAAGGACAGGAGTAAATTACTGATTAATTTTATACTTTAAATTAAATGGAATTTCTAGTGTAACCATACACAAAATTAAGAAACAATATCTAAAGCCCAAATTTATAAATGGGGAAAACCAAACCAAACCAAAAAAAAATCCCAAAGAAGGATAGAAAAAAAACTTGTAATGGGTATGTAAAATAATACCAAATAGGTAGATAAAGTTGCAGGTATCTTATTAATTGCAATAAGTATAAATGGACTACATGCTCCATTTTGAGGGACTAAGATTGCCAGATTAATAAAAATTTTAACAATAAGCTATTTACAAGAGATATAAACCAGAAAAGAATTGACAGAGATAAACAAGGAAAATTCTAAGCAAAAGAAAGCTGATGTAACTATATTAGTATCAGTAAAAACAGACTTTATCTTTAGTAACACTTTTAACCTTAGAGTTCCTTCATAACAATGAAAGATTCAAATTACAGAATGTTATAACAATCTTAAATGTGTATGCCTTACACAACAGGGTGTCAAAATGCATAGAGCAAAAACAACCTGAATTATAAGAAAATCCATAACTGGAGCATATTTTTAATATGCCTCCCAATAACTGGTAGAAAACAGATCCAAACCCCCTCCACTACACTCCGCAAATTCAGAAAGATATAGGAGATTTAAATGACTTCATAAACTTGACCCAAAAGCCCCATAAAGAACACTGGATAGAACAACATCAGAATATACTTTTTTTGTTCAACATCTACAGATACAAAAAACACTGATCCTAGAGTCGAGTCTGGAACAGTTACAGTTGGAACAGTTACAATTGACCCTAAGCCAACATCTAAGATGAGCAAAAACTACTTTATTGCTACAAGCCACAGATTTAGGGATTACTATGACACAATCAAATGAAAGTTAATATATCAAGTTTATTAATCAACCACCTCTGCCGATGAAAGAAGTATTCAAATCACATTTAGGAATTAAAACAAAAATTCACAATGTTTACTGCTCTCTTTCTATTTTAACAGATGAAAATGTTATCTGAATTAACTGGGAATTTATTTGGGGGTACTCCCATTTTTCTGTGCATAGGCAAGGAAGTATTAATGTTCTGAAAACTGAAATGATACAAATAAATAAATTAAAACCTAGATAATTCATTTAATATCATATCATTATTTTTAGAAAATAACAATTGCATGCTAAAAATTAGCTTTAAAAAAAGATGAAATACTCTGCACAGGGGAAAAGCTGTTTATAGGAAATATTCATATTGAGATCATTCATAAAACTGCACAAAGAACAATCTTTCCAACTATAAATCTTGATAAGTAATATTATCATGCTAAGAAATAAGGCTATTAATTATAGGTTAAGAAAATAAATCATCTAATTTTTTAAAAACATAAATGTTGAATACACTCACTATTTTCAAAAGCTGACAGATTATAAGTGCTCTATAGGTATAGAGATTCTTGGGCTTTCTCAATGGGGGAAAAGTGTTTCAAAATGCCTTGCTGAAGTTAAGACCTCAAGCTCTCATGAAGGGCACACTTATGCAAGCTCTGGCCCTGCCACACACTTGATACACAATGTTTTCTAAATTTCCTTGAGTCTTATTTTAATCATATGTAAAGTATGAACAAATGTTAGTAACTAACTCAAGGGCCTGTTATGATTAAATGTGGTAATACAAGTAAATAGCTTAGCAAAGGTACCACTGTGTAAGTGTCCATTAACACTATTATCAAAGGTAATGAATCATTACATCCATAAGTTCTTCAAAATGGGGGATATACATGAACGCAGTTCATCTAGCATTTCTATCTTCCAGAAACACTTAGGTATAACCTTTTGAACACTTAAACTTAAATTTCTACTAACAACTTACCAAGTCACAGAACTCAAACACCAGAAGATAGGGAATTGCTTCTACACATTGTCCAACACACTGAAGAATATTTGGGTGCTGAAGAATACTGGTAAAAATAAAAGTCATAATACTGTTCATCAGGAAGCATGATAATAAAATGGTTCAAGCAGTAATCCAAACTTTAAAATTCATAATAATTTAAATATGACAAACTGAAAAGATCACATGAAGATTATACTTACTAAGATATCTAATAATTAAATAATTCAAAGACAATCAGGTGAACATTTTCACAAATTAAAAAAGAAGTCCTCAGCCTGGGTAACATAATGAGAGACTTTATCTCTACAAAAAATAGTCAGGTATGGTGGTATATGCCTGTAGTCATAGCTAATCATCAGGAGGCTGAGGTGGGAGGATTGCCTGAGACCAGGTGGTCGAGGCTGCAGTGAGATGTGACTGTGCCCCACTGCACTCCAGCCTGGGCGATAGTGTGAGAGCCTGACTCTAAAAAAAGAGAGAGAGGGAGAACAGAAAATAAATCCTGCTGGGTGCAGTGGCACATGCCTGTTATCCCAGCGCTTTGGAAAGCAGAAGAAAGAGGATCACTTGAGCCTAAGAGTTTGAGACCAACCTGGGCAACACAGCAAGGCTTAGTCTCTACAAAAAATTTAAAAAATTAGCTGGGTGTGGTGGCACACGCCTATAGTCCCAGATACTTGGGAGGCTGATACAGGAAGATCACTTGAGTCCAGGAGTTGGAGGCTGCAGTGAACTGTGATAGTGTCACTGGACTTCAGTCTGGATGACAGAGTGAGACCCTGACTCAAAAAAAAAAAAAAAAAATCCTAACATAAGAATCTTTACTTGTAGTAATTTCAGTTTGGAGATACTATTGCAAGCGAGCATTTAAAAGAGGGCAGACTATGCACAGTCATCCCTCAGTATCCACAGGGGATTGGTTCCAGGAATCTCCAAAGATAACAAAATTCAATCCAAAGATGCTCAAGTCGCTTACATAAAATATAGTATTTGCATACAGTCTATGGATATCCTCTTGTATATTTCCAATCATACCTAATTACTTAAAATACCTAATACAATATGCTATTAAATAGTTATATTGTATTGTTTCTAACTTGTATTTTTTATTGCATTGTTATTTTATTTCCTTTTTTCTTCCTTTTTGGAGTGAGGATCTCACTCTGTTGCCCAGGCTGGAGTGCAGTGGCATGAAAATAGCTCACCACAGCCTTGACTTCCTGGGTTCAAGCAATCATTCTGGCTCAGCCTCCTGAGTAGCTGGGAATACAGGCATGTGCCACCTCACCTGGCTTATTTTTCTCGTTTTTTTAGAGATGAGGTCTTGCTATATTGCCTAGGCTGGTCTCAAACTCCTGGACTCAAGCAATTCTCTCACCTCAGCCTCCCAAAGTGCTGGGATTACAAGCATGAGCCACTGTGCTTGGTCAGTATTGTTATTTTCTATTGCCTTTCTTTCAAATATTTTTGATCAAAGGTTGGTTGAATCCATGGATGTAGAACCCACAGATACAGGGGGTTGACTGTATTTGCAAATTCAATATTCAACCCAGACATTAAATAACTCGGTTTCTCCTTCAGGCTATCTTGCTTATGTACTATTTCCCTAAATGTCCACAGTATACACAAACTCCTTTTGGAAGTTATTTTGTCCAAAAGAAAATAAAGTTAAATAAAAGATATACCCAACATCTTTAAATTTTTTTTAACTTTGAAATAATTATGAATATAAAGGAAATTGCAAAGACAGTACAGGGAGGTCTGGTATACTCTTCACCCAGTTTCTGCCATTGGTTACATCTGACACAATTACCAATTTGGTGTAATACTAAAGCCAGGGAACTGACACTTCCATAAAGCATGTGTAGAGTTCACATGTACAGATTCATGTAACCACCACCTCAATAGAGATGCAGAATTACTCCACCACCAAAGGCTCTCCCCCAGGCTACCTATTTAGACCCCTGGCTGCCACTAACCTGTTTTCCATTTCTATGATGTTACCATTTTGAGAATACTATATAAATCAAATCATATAGTATATGGCCTTTTGAAACTGATTTTTTTCACTCAACATAATCCCCTTGAGATCCATTCAAGCTACTGCATGTATCAATAGTTCATTCCTTTTTTTGCTGAGCAGTATTCTGTGGTATGAATGTACCACAGTTTGAACGACATTTTAGTTTTTTTCGTTTTTGGTGATGACAAATAAAGCTGCCATACATAAATAAGTTTTCATTTCCCTGGAATAAATGTTCAGGAGTGCAACTGCTAGGTTATATAATGTGATGGTTAATTTTTTTTTTTTGAGTTGGACTCTCACTCTGTCGCCCAGACTGGAGTGCAGTGGCCGCTCCCGGCCACCGCAGCCTCGACCTGCTGGGCTCCGGTGATCCTTCCGCCTCAGTCTTCCGAGTAGCCGGAATTACAGGCATGCGCAACTACGCCCGGCTGATCTTTTTATTTATTGTAGAGATGAGGTCTCGCCAAGTTGCCCAGGCGGGTCTCGAACCCGCGGGCTCAGGCAATCCACACACCTCAGCCTCCCAAAGCACGGGATTACAGGCTGAGCCACCGAGCTCGGCTGCGATGGTTAATTTTATGTGTCACTTTGGCTGGGCCACAATGCCCAGCTATTTGGTCAAACATTATTATGTTTCTGTTTCTATTCTTATGTTTCTTATATTATGTTCTGTGGATGAGATATCACTTAAATCGGCAGACTTCCAATAAAGCAGACTTGTCCATAATGTGGGCCTCATCTATCAGTTGAAGATTTTAGTAGAGCAAAGACTAACCTCCCCAACAGAAGAAGGAATTCTGCCAGCAGACAGCCTTCATGATTGAACAATAACATCCATTCTTCCATGGGTCTCCAACTTGTTGGCCCATCCTGCAGATTTTGGACTTGTCAACATCCATAACTGTGTGACTCAATTCCTTAAAATAAGTCCCTCCCTTGCAACACAACCTATTGGTTCTGTTTCTCTAGAGAATGCTAATATACACGATAAATGTATGTTTAGTTTTTAAGAAACTGACAAACTATTTTCTAGAGTGGTTCTATCATTTTACATTTCCACCAACAATGTCTGAGAGACCTAGTTTCTCAATATCCTTACCGGCACTGAGTGTTGTCACTATTTTTTATAATAGCTTTTCTAATAATAGGTGTAAAGTAATATCTTATTGTTACCTTACTTAATTACCTTAGAGGCTAACAATGTTGAATAGACGTCTTTTCATGTGGTTATTTGCTACCCATATATATATCCTCTTTAATAAATGTCTCTCATTGTCTTCTGACAATTTTCTAGCTGAATTTTTTTCTGTTGAGTTGTGAGAGTTCTTTATAGATATGAATCCTATGTCATTTATGTAGTTTGCAAGTATTTTCTCCCAATCTGTAGCTTGTCTTTTTACCCTCTTACCAAGGCTCTTTCACAAAGCAAAAGTTTTATAATAAGTTTTATTCGGTTTTTTTTTATTTTAAGCAAGTTTAGCCACAGTTTTGTTTTTTCTCTTGTTCCTTCTTCCTAATGCTCCAAGATTTCTTCTCTTAGTTTCCTTCATCTGAGAGTGTCTTGATATTCCTTCATATCTGAAGGACATTTTCTCTGGATATGGAATCTCAGAGCTCTTTTCTTTTAGCACTTGAAAATTGTGCCCTTTCCTTCTGGTCTCCAAGGTTTCTGACAAGAAATCTACTGTCATTACAAGGGTTTTCCCCATATAGGTAAGGTGTGTTTCTCTCTCCTTGATTTCAAGATTTTTTTATCTGTCTTCAGTTTTCAGAAGTATGACTATGACATGTGTTAGCATGATTTCTTTGTGTTTATCCTATTTGGGATTTGCTCCAATTCTTGAATCTGTAAGCTTTTTCTTTTCCAAACATGAAAAATTTTAGCCATTGTTTCTTTGAATGACTTCTCAGACTCAGCCTCTCTTTCCCTTTGTTCTGAGATACTAAGACATCAACTTTAGATCTTGTGTCATAGTCTCCCATGTCCTCGAGCTCTTCATTGTTTGTTTGTTTGTTTAAGTCTATTTTCTCCCTGTTGTTCAAACTGGGTGATATTTTTTGCTTTATCTTCAACTTCACTGATTCCTTCCTCTGTTCTCTCCATTCTGCTATTGAGCTAGCTCATCTACTGAGTTTTAAATTTGTTACTGTATTTTTCAGTTCTAAAATTTCCTTTAGGGTCTTCTTTATGTCTTCTATTTCTTTGCTGAGACTTTGTATTGTTCCATTTGTTTCAAGTGTACAGCAATTGCTTATTGAAGTATTTTTATGATGGCTGCTTCAAAATCCTTGCCAGACAATTCTAACAGCTCTGTCATCTTAGTGTTGGACTCTGTTGTCTTTTCTTAACTAAACTGAGTTCTCTTGGTTCTTGGAATAAGTAATTTTCAGCTGAAACCTGGATATTTTCAGTCTTATGAGACACTGGATCTTATTTAATCATGTATGTTGCAGGCAGAAATCCCAAAGTAGTTTTAAACATCAGATTTTCAACAGACCACAGACTATGCTTTAGAACATATATTAAGGTATACTTACTAGTAGGGTTCTCCATTTTTCAAAAAAGTATCTTGTTCCTTTGGGCTTGCACTTGCTTTTAACTCCTTCACTATTACTCTTGCTACACTAGTGCCTGTGTAAATCTCTCCAAGGAGGACCTAAAACGAAAGAACAATTTTTTTGTGTCACTTCCATCAAAATGGTAAAGATGTCTCATTTACCAAGAAATCACATATAGGAAAACAAATTAAGCAGCAAATAGATGATCTTCTATTATTTTACATACTAACTCATAAAAAGCTTAGAAAACTCAAATATTTTTCTTCAGTAAAATAACTATTTTAAACCATTCATCAGATATTTTCATGTATTTTAATATCTCTTCTATTTTAATATATTTAAATACTTATTTATTTAAATTTGATTTATTAATTTATATAAAAATGTATTATAGTTTCATGAAAATCAATATGACTTTACAGAAGAGTGATCTATACATTCAATTCAAACATGACTCAAATGTTTTTCAAAAATACTTCAACAAAATTGTATTATTTAGTCTGCTACACACATGAGAAAGTAAACTGACAAACAGGTAATGTACAATCATTTTACTGAAACTTAAAAATCCATGGTATTCCAATACCAGACCTTTATCTTGTACCAAAACTTCAGTCAAAACACATAGAAAAACCATTCCACTGAAATTAACAGAATACAAAATGAGAATGAGCTACCTCATATAGCTTCAAGAGAAATATTAAATATAATATTTAATATTATATAATGTCAAGGCATTCCAATTTAAGATAAAAATGATGATAAAGTGAAGGTTTTTATTTCATCAGAGAATGATCAAAACTAAAAGACTTCACTTTAAAAGTGCTTTACATTTTTATAAAACATACTCATTCTAATGCCCTGGAAATAAGAGTGATAGCTCAATCTATTTGTCAGGAATATAAGGACAGAAGAATGAAAACAAGAAATTCTGATAATTAACTAAATCATGTCTGTTTCCAAACCAGCCTGTACATACATTATAAGGACAACAATCACAAGGTACCCATTTTGCAAAAGAGGAAGAACAACTGTAGACTACTGCAGTAATCCAGCTCAGCTTATCTCTTGCCGCTGCCACCCAAGGGCATTCTTGGGGTTCACTATCTGTGGGGACAATTCATTCAACACTTGGCCTCTCAGTTCTTTTACTTTCTTCCTATCATCTTTTCTACAATCTCAGCAACTGCTTCTGTGGGTCTACACCTGGTTAATAATTATGTCCGAAACCTTGAATTTTGACTTCACTTTCTCCACCAGTCCCTTTATTTCCAGGACACTTACTTCAACACTTGAACCCAACCAGTCCATTCATGGTGCCACTTTCCACCATCCTCCCCTCCTACAAGTCCTCACTCCCCTCCTGGACAGCTTAGGCCTCCCAGCTCCTCCACTATCACCACTCTCTTGCTCCCTCTCTGAGGCACATCAGCTTAGTCAAACCCAGCTGGTTAAATTCAACTACCCACCTATAATAAAACACCAGAAGTAGAGAAAAACACACAACATAATGACTGGTTTCATTTTAAATTTTGAGTGTCCTCAGCACTGCCCATCCCCCCTAGTTTCCCTAGTGGATACACTTTCCCAGATGGCTCTTTCACACTTTTCACCTGTTTCAAACCTCCAAGGCATCTTTCTATTCCTCTCTTTCAAGTGAGAAACTGGTCTCCTATTCACTGAAAATTTAGCAATCAGAAGTGGACTTCCTCATTTTAACATCACAGAATCCACTTGTATCCACTCCCTTTGCTTTTGTTCCCATTTTAAGAGTGAAACTGCTTCTGCTAAGATCACGCCCTCCAAGCGTTATGACACCTGTCCTCTTGCTAAGAACTTTTGCTACCACAATTACCCACCCCCACTCCTGCCCCGGATTTAAACATGTAGAAATAGCTTCCCATCCTATTAAAAAAAAACAAAAAACAAAAAACATCTAAAAACCTTTCCTTGGCCCTGTGGATGTTCCCAAACAGCTCCATTTCTTTGTTTTGTTAAGAGTAAAACTCAAGAGAGCTGTCTAAATGTACTGTCTCCTTTTTCTCTCTTGAACCCATTTCACAGAAGGATAGGCCATCACCACTCCCCCAAGCGGCTGCTTTCAGGGACACCCAGGAACTCAAGATGCTGAATCCTAAAGTCTCCTAGTCTTCATCTTACTCCATTTGTAAGCTACAGCATTTACTACAATTAACCCTCTTGGAACCCCTTCTTCACTTGACTTTCAGAATACTCCTCTTCCTGGAGTTCTCCCTACTTCCTGGTTCTCCTGGATTGTGCTGACCTCTCACTGCTGCAGGACCTTGGGGTTCAGTCTTCTCATATGCCTCTGCCTCATCTCCATTTCGAAATTCTCTATAATTTCATCTAGTCTCACAGCTTTAAGTACCATCTATAAACAGAGTTCTTCCAAATATTTATCTCTGGTCCAGAACCTCTCTCAAACTCTCCATTTGCATTCCCAGTGTCCTGTTTGGAACCTGTACTTTTAGCCTAATAGCCATCTCACACCTAATGTAGACCAGGTGATCTTTGACTTCCTCCTCCAGGCTGCTTCTCCTGTAGTCTTTCCTGCACTTCCGTTGACAGCAGCTCCATTCTTGCAGTTGTTCAGGCCCTTAGCAGTCATCCTTAATATCTCTCTTCCTCAGATTCCACACTGAGTCCATCCAAAGTCCTGCAAGCTCTCATCTGAACATCTACCTTGGGTCCCAACACTTCTCACCACCTTCACTACTATCATCCAGGTCCAAGCTTACCTGGACCTCTCCCTGGATGGCTGCAGTAGCCTTCTAGACAATTTCCCTGCTTTCACCTTTCTCCTCTACAACTGCCAGAGTGATCCTTTAAAGAAAGTAAATCAATTATGCCCCTTACTTCTTAACCACCAGAGGACTTCCCCATTTCACTCTGAGTCAAAGTTAAAGTCTCTAGGTACATACAAAACCCCACATCCCTGGCTCCCCTATACTCCTCTGAGCCCATCACTTACAACTGATCATCTACTGACTGACTCTCCCAACTAGAAATTTAAGCACTGTAGTGTCTGCTGCTAAATTTGCAGCAGGTCACACAGGCAGGGACTTTTACCCATCTTCCTCCACATCATACCCCAGCACCAAAAACAATGCCTGGTATATAACAGGTTCTGCTAAGTGTCTCAGAAGATTTGGTAACTAATACAGTTTGGAAGAGATACAGAAGGGACAGACAAGTCTGAATGGAAAGACAAGCAGCATAAGATGGGTGACTACAGGGCAAGTACATCTTCCTGACTTAAGCACCTTGCTTATGATGCAATCACTATTCATTTAGGAACCTTTTACAGAGAATGATTGCTATACTGTAGCAATGACTGCTTAAGTATTCTTTCTGGGACAAGAGTGGTGGTGACTCATGCTTGTAATCTTAGCACTTCAGGAGGTTGAGGCAAGAGGGTCACTTAAAGCCAGCAGTTCAAGACCAGCCTGGGCAATAAAAGAAGACCTTGTCTCCTCAAAAAATAATTGACTGGGCATGGTGGCACATGCCTGCTGTCCCAGCTACTTGGGAGGCTGAGGCAGGAGGATCACTTGAGCCCAGGAGTTCAAGGTTGCAGTGAGCTATGATCATGCCACCCTACTCCAGACTGGGCAACACAGAGAGAGAAGAAAATTTATTCCTTCTGAATCACCTACAGTAAAAAGATCCACAAAGCACTGTTACCATAGGTCACTTGACAGGCTCTGAAAAATACAGAAAGTTGCTCACAATGGTTTTCAGCATAGTAAGAATCTCTGTATTTACTAAAGAGGTTTAAGTGCTGTAAGGGGAAGAAGGAAAATAACTAAGTGGGGAGGGAAAGAAAAGGGGAAGAGAAAAATCCAATTTAACTTGAAGAGAATAAAATGCTGCTAAAATTCCAGATCTCTTTTATCTTCTTACTGTTCTTATACCAACAACTAGAAAAGTCTCTGATACATTAAAAACAACAAGGACTTTGCTATGGTCCGAATGTTTGTGTCCTCCCTAAACTCCTATGTTGACACTGTGTAATCAGTAATGGGATTCTTAGGAGGTGGCCCTTTGGGAGGGAATGGGACTAGCATCCTTATAAAAGAAGCTTCAGAGAGCTGCCTCACGCCTTCGACCATGTGAGTACAGAGCAGGAAGGAGTCAGATGCTGAATCAGCCAGCGAATTGATCTTGGACTCCCCAGACTCCAGAATTGTAAGAAATAAACTTCCTTTGTTTATAAGCTACCCAGTTTATGGTACTCTGTTCCAGCAGCCCGAATGGACTAACATAATCTTCTTGGAAAAAATTACACACCCAGGAATGCAGAAGTTCACACTCCCATGTAGTTGTTGGGGCACTGGGGAAACTCAAATAGTGTCACAGTGTCTACAGAGAAGGTGGATATCACACGAAAGAATCCTTCAATTAGCCTTTACTTTATGATTAGGAAGAGGAAAACTAAAAGTGAAGAACATCTTACCTTTCCAAACCAGCCATTTCCAATTTCCTGTATGTAGTTTAGACTGTGGCGGGCAACTTGAGACTTCAAACCTTCTGTAGAGAAAAAAAATTAAAAATTAAATAAAAATATCTAACTAAAATAAGAGAGATATTAAGCATATAACCTATAAAGTACAAACGCTAACATAAACTTAATGCTTGTGCTAGTAAAAGCAGAAATAAATGCACAAAACACCTCTTTCAAATTAATAATGCCAAAAGATTCACTTTTAAAACTGATGATATTTTTGAATGAGTGTCCTATTCTGATTCTTTAATATCTTGTACTGTTTTTTTCCTGAAAAACTAATGTAACTGATTACCATTCCAGTGGTCTTTACTTAGTCCTTATTTTTGTGATCTCTTCAGTAGCTCAGCTGGATATAGGATTAGCCCTCTTAAATTAATCTCCTTTAATATTTAAAAAATGGCTTTACTGAAGTATAATTGATATACAATAAAATGCACATATTTAAAGTATACAATTCAATACAATCTGACATATACATGTACCCGTGAACCCATTACTAAAATAAAATAGGAACTTCTCCATCACCACGAAAAGTTTTCTGATATCCCTTAGTAGTCCCTCCCTCCTGCCTCTACCTCTAGACAACCATTCATGTGCCTTCTTTTTTTTCCTGAAAACAAGTTTTATTTAAATAAGTGTTTAAATACATTACACATAACATTAAAACTAAAGGGAAAAAAAAAATCCAAAAACCAGTCTGTTACTTCACACAGCATCGGGCAGCTGTTGCTTTGCAAGCTCCACAGCTAGCTACCTGACCCACACATCAGTTTCAGGTCTGTTCCCTCGTCAAACGTTTAACTGAGAGAAGGCTGGCCTCACATTCTGGTGTTTGGACATCTCTCAGCTGGATATGTCTGGTCAGAAAGATCTTTGTGGCAAGGCAGACATGCTATCACCCTGTTGGAGGTTAGGGAGCCACTCTGAGCTCTGCCTGCCTGGTTAGGATGGAGAGGCCAGGCATCTTTTTTTCACAGCCAAAGGCTCCTTCTTGGGGCATAGCCTCACTCCATCCTCTCCTCTCAGGTTCGCCAAGGCTTGTCTGGTGGTGACATTCTTTCAGGGCAGGGAACTCTGCAGAGGGAAAGCTTCCGGCCAGACACAGCTGTCTGTGATCTTAGGGCTCTGGGCTTGGTTGAAACATCATGCTATTGCTTTGTTTCAAGTTTGACTCTGCCAGGCACCCACCACTTGATCCCTGTTCAGATGAGGGACTTTCAGACTAGACAGCATGGCTCTTTTCAGTTTACTGCATTAAAGAGTACACCAGTCCAAGTTAAAAGCAGACCACAAATGGTTACATTATACAAGCTGTGAGGTTTTTAAACTTGTGACAAAGGGCAGAAGGGAAATTCTACTCGTTGCAAGGAAATCCTCACTTAAGTTTCAATGAGCCACAAGCACTTAAACCCTATGAACCTTCAACTGAACCTTCAGCTGATCGTCCTTAGTCCAATCTCTACGAGGAATTGGCTATGTTCTTGTGCTGGTCACCCTGTAGCTGAATTACTTTTTCATATTCTGAATGCTCAATTACAGTACCACTGCAGGCTAATTTCTTCTTAAATGCCTTTACTAGTTTCTTTTTATCATAATCATCAGCGATCCCTCAGAGAGTAGTAAGGGTCTTCCTGCCCTTTGTCTGTTGAATTCTTATATGGATATATAATCCTCAGTGCCAGCAGAAAGCAGGTAATCACCCTTACTTGAATCAGCAAAGGGATCGAATGAGTGGAGGTTCTGGATAGCGAACATACGATACGATTCCTTTTCCTCGGTAGAAACGGCCTGTGGAAGATGGCAGTGAGAGAAGGTGGGTGGGGGGACGAAGCATCAAAGCGAGGGGGCTCAAGGGGGAGGCTGCTGAGGCCTCAGAGGCGGCTCAGTGACTGGGGCCATGTGCCTTCTGCACTATAATTTTCATTTTATAAATTTCGTTTTCTAAAATTGTATGCAACTGAAATCAAACACTATGTACTCTTTTTCAAAAATGACATATCAATTATTTTAGAATTCAATCAAGATTTTGCATGTATCAAAAATTTATTCTCTTTTTTACTACTGAAGAGTTTTGACTGAATGGACACTATAATTTGTCTATTCATTCACAGGTAGATGGGCATTTAAGTCATTTACAGGTTGGGGCTATCACAAATCAAGTATATGTGTACAAGTCTTTGTTGGATACATGCTTTTATTCCTCTTGGACAAATATCAAGGCATGAAATGGCTAGATTGCATGGTAGGTGTATATTTAACTTTTTAAGAAGGTGCCAACTGCTTCTTAAAATATGAGCAGTACATCAGCGCTCCAGTTGCTCCATACCTCCGTCATCACTTGAAATAGTCAGTCTTTTTCATTTTAGCCATTCTAAAGGGTATACAATTTTATTTTAGTTTTAATTTTCATTTTCCTAATGACTAACGATGTTGAGGATGTTTTTGTTTGCTTATTTGTCCACCTATCTATCTTCTAAGATAATGTATCTGTGTAAATCCTTGCCTCATTCTTATTGGGTTTTCTTATTACTGAGTATTGAAAGTTCTTTAAGTATTCTGAAACCATGTTCTTTGTCAAATATGTAATTTGCAAATGTTTTCTTCTAGTCTGTGGCTTGACTTTTCATTATCTTAGCCGAGTCTTCTAAAACACAGAAGTTTTAAATTTCTGTAAGGTTCAATTTACCAATATTTGCTTTTATGAATGATGCTTTTGGTGTCATATCTAATAAATCTTCAAGAGCACAAAGGTTTTCTACTAGAAATTTTATGGTTTTATGTTTTACATTTAGGCTTATGACATCTTCTAAGTTCATTTTTACATATACAACAAGGTATGGGTCAAAGTTCATTTGTTTGCTTATGAATATCCAGGTGTTTTATCACTAATTAATTGTACCTCTCTCAAATGAATTGACGATAGAAGAACTAACATAAGTGGATAGGTCGGGAAGAAGCAGTCAAGTCAGCTGGACTATGTGAGTCCCGGTGTAAATGAGTGAATGGATGGAAGATTTTGTGTATGTGCTGGTGAGGGAGAGGACTTGTGAGTGACTAACTGAGTGAGGGCCAGGGGGCTGGCGGCCAGGTCTCTCTAGTGCAGCAGCTGGTGCCGCAGCTGCTTGGCTTGGACCCTAGTGATTCCCAGGATGCAGAGGCCAAGTGCCGTTTTTGTTTTTAAATCAACAAAACTCTTCCTGGGAAGAAAATGCGAGGAGAGACTGACTAAGTAGGGGCTCGTCAGCAAGTGGTCAGAGCCTTCTTGGTGCAGCAGCTGGTGCAGTTTCTCGGCTTGGTCCCTGGTGTTTCCCAGGTCAAAGAAGCCCGGTGCCATTTTTTTTTTAATGGACAGAAGCTTTCCTGCAAAGAAGTGGCAGGAAGAGACTGCCGGCTCCAGACTTTACCTCACCACTTCAGCACCTGGCCAGACACTGGTAGCAGGGGCTGCGGAGGGAGCCCAGAGGCAGAGTCCCACTGGAAAGGACAAGAGAGGAACTCCACCACCATCTCGAAGGTGGGGTAGGAAAATGTTCCAACTTGCTCATCGTGGAGGCAGACCCGATCTCCGGGACTGGGGGGTACCAACTACTCAGGGGTTGATCGTGACCCAGAGGGAACATCCGGAAGCACAAACTTCGGAGGGGCCTGACGAGGGCTGAGTCCCAGGCGCCCACCCCCTACCTGATCCAGCCATGGGACAAAGGGTGTGGCCAGAAAAGGACCAGGAAGAACTCCAAAGAGATCAGTGGTGAGTCTGGGGCTGACCCCAATTCCCTCCTTCTTAGCAATCCTCTGAATGTCAGACTCACACAGCTGGGCCTTGACTGAGAGGGACAAACCCAGGTGGAGCCTGGTCGTCAGTGGTAACGGAGAACTCCAATCCAGGACAGGACTGGCTGGGGTACTTCTCCCACCCGCCATGTGTACATACCTGGGGAAGAAACAATCCTGCACCTGCCCACGGAAGGAGAGCTCCCTCTCCCTGACCATACAAGAGTGGGAGGGGAGGACTGCAGCCCCACCCACCCCCAATGCTCCTCTCCTCCTTCCCTGCTCTGGACACTGGGGAGAGAATGAAAGGTGGAAGCTCTGCAGGAGAGAGGAAGAATTACAGAGCCTGCCACAAGAGGGCAGGGTTTTTTTCCTTTTTTTTTTTTTTTTTTTTTTTAAATCTAAAAATTTTTTTTTACCTGTTTGTTAGTTCACCTATTTTTAAAATATTGTTCCTTTGTGCAAGAATGTATATGTAAGGGCTTGATCTGCATCCCCCCCTTTTTTCCTTTCTTCTTTTGTTTTTTGTTTTCTGTTTATTTGTGTATGTGAATAAAAGAGTGTTAATCTTTCAGGGGTTTTTTTGCTGTTGTTGTTGGTTTGTTTTTGCTCTTTTGTTCTTCTCTTTCTTTACTTTTACTTTTTTTAGTTTAAGGTGTGTGTCAATATATGTGTGAGGGTTCAATCTGAATTCCTTTTGTTGTTGTTTTTCCAGTCTTTCTGTTTCATCTTCTCCATTCATTGTGTGCTAGATGTGTGTGTGTGTGTGTGTGTGTGTGTGTGTGTGTGTGTGTGTGTGTGTGTGTGTGTGTGTATGTGTGTTTACCTGGTTTTTTTTCTTGTTGTTTGTTTTGTTTCACTTTGTTGTTATTCTAGTTTGTTTTGGGGTGTGTGTATGTATATCTGTATGTGTGAATGTTCAAATGTTTTCTACTTTGGTTTCTGCTTTCATTGTTCTGTGTTTTTTTTCCTTTTCTTTTTTTTAAATTATTGTCCATCTTATTTCATTCTATTTTTCTCTGTGCTCCTCATTGCTGTCACTGTATCTTGGACTTGGGGTACACACACGTACCCATTGCATCGTTATATAGAGAGGTGGTGGGGAGTGGGTCTCAGGGAACACAAACCACAATCAGTGAGCATTGCAATTTGCAAGTAATTACAAACTTCTGAATCCTAGCTCCCATCCCCTACCTTATTCAACTTTCAAAACTACAAGAGACAGTCCTATTTCAAAATAGAACAAATCCAG